GACCAAGCGACAAAACGCTACAAGACCTTATGACTACTTCCCACGCTGAATGGAGAACGAATCAACGGTGGGACAGACAGCTGTAAAAAATGATTGGTGGACGACACGAAAAAGTAGAAAAAAGTAAGACGATTTGCACTGGATGAGGAAGCTTGGATAGCGAAGAATGGAAAACTCACTCCGGCGTAATAACGCTGTCCAAATTTGTTCCTTCGTCGCATCCTCATGATCTATGAAAGATGGCGAAGGACCACACAGCGCTCTCAGGTTCAACCGTTTCAATAACTTCTAGCGTTACTGAAACGTTTCAGACTTGCCAACGATGCTGCATGAGCTTTACCATATTTTACTACTGCGCCAAAGTCTTTCAGAAACAAATACCATGCAGTTCATCGGTCCTTAAGTAATCAAAGTTTCCTCCTCCTGCCATGTTAGCTTTCGCCTCACTGAGTGCCAAAACAACGTAGCTGACATTCGTGATGACTGTGATTCGCTGTAAAGCGTGATACTGATGAGATGATGAGGAGAACGACTGCGAAGGTGATGAAGGTGGCAGTAATATGGTTGTTCTTGGTGATGATGGCAATGGCCACAACGACGATGATAACTATGATCGTGCCGATGATCGTGCTGATGTTAATTATGGCCTCAATGACGACGATAATGACTATGATTTTGAGTATGACTATGATAATGATGATGACGAAGAAACGATGATTACGACCAAAATGATGAACATGATGATAATAATAATGATAAAGATGATTGAGGTATAATTATTATGATGATGAGGTTGTTGTTGCTAATAATGAGACGGTCGTGCTCTGTCTGTAGTTTTCACGAACTTGTAGCATTTGACTTTAGCTGCATTGTAGACGAAGTGGAAATCATGGAACGTCTTTACTTGACAGTGCCATAGAAGTTGCACTAGAATCAACTTATGAAGCGACTGGCAGCCTTTCGTACAAAATTGTCCTTTATTGATATGAAAGGTTTCTGACATTTATCAAATATGGTTCTTTTTCCAGTTGCATAAATGGCACAACAGTTTCCTCAGCTTTAATTTGCTTAAACTTTAATAAAAGCGATATTTATTCTCATATTATTCGTCCGTTTTTTTGCATGATCTTACATATACTTCAGGTTTAGGACTGTAGCCTCATGAGGTTTCCATAAAGATTTTGGTCCCAGGTCAGGCATAATCAGGAACTTGGTCAAAAATGCGACAAGGACATACTCACTTGTACTCGAACCATCAAGTTCTCATAATTACCTCTGACTGCTTTAAGCGTATTCTTATGAAGTTATCTCATTTTACTTGTCTCTGCTGAAGTTTCGTAATCGCAACTGCGATCTTTTAATCCACTGAATATTAGCGTATTGCCGCCTATTTGGACTCATGCATCATTTCATATTATCACTGTATTTATTTTGGATTCTGTGTACACTTATGTGTATACTCATTATGTGCATAACTCATTATATTCATTATGCATACCCATTATGTTTCACAGACTTCCTGTGATACTTCAAGGCAAGCTTCGCTTGTTGTCAAGGTAAGCTGGTTAAAATAAATATGTAGATTTCATGTAAATAAAACGCATTTGCAAAGTTACCTCTAAAGATTATGAGAAAACATCGAATTAACTTTCTGTGAAAAAGGATCATGCGCAACTTCGGAGAGAAAGTTGGTTGATGCTATTCACCAGTTAACATTTGGCGTAAATCGGTTTAAACTATATAATCTGTTGTTATTGTGACCCAGGAAGACTAGAGTACGAGAAAACAATTTTTAAAGGCCGCAAAACTTTTATGACCCTCATCCTTCGCCTCTCGGATGCGTTTAACGAACCGGATTCTAAGGCGCCACAATGTCATCTGTTCAATACGCTCGAGGCACCTCACTTTTGCCATACCTGACTGTCTGTAGTGCGATTCTTCATCCTTAGTGAACATCTGAGCTTCGACAGGATAAAGCCTGATTTTCGAGCAGAGTCACTTGCCCCAGGTCTTCCCCGGGGTCTTCAACCTGTCGATCGAAAAACTAATAGTTGTTTTGACCCCCCCCCCCGTTTTGAAGCATTCGCAAAACGTGCCCAAAGTATTGTAACCATTACCTTTCAGCTTCTTGATCTGGAGAAGCAACGGTTGTACACTAAGATTTACTTGAACATCTGAACTGCGGTCTCTGTCGAGCACAGTAATTCGTCCCAGAAAGCCAATTTAAGCTGCCTGTACCTGGAATCGCATTTTTCCGGTTACAGTTCTTGACCGTAGATGCGCATGGAAATGAAAATCAGTTTTACCGCTAACAGCAAAATCTTTAGACTCAGCTCTGTCTCAGTCACAGCTGTTCAGACTACTTCATTCAGACTACTGGCTGTTCCAATTCCCTTGTCGATCTCTTTCAACAATTTTTGTATTATTTTCTGTATACTGTATATTTCCTGCACAAAATGATGACAATTCATTGCAGAAAAAATAATAAACGGAATTAATGCCGATTCATGGACAATAGTGGAGAAACATGCCAGAAATATCGGATTTCTTTCAGTTATTTAATTGAGTTATGCAGAACGTCTTCTCGCTTACCTTTTTATATTGATTTAATCGACTTATCGCTGCAGATTTAGCGTGCTCGTCTTTGATTATCTGCATAAACACCGAATATTTCTCATTTTCTCAATTATTTTATAACTTCGGTTATCCTCAAAAACACCTTTTTGATTCCTGTCACCCCACCGCAGGAAAGGGGAACAATAAGTACATAATCATGCAAAGTCATCTTTCGTGGTTAATTGTAAATGAAGCTGGCTTAAAAATCCTAAATGCCTTGCCAACTCTGATTATGGAAACCTCGTCAGTGGACAGTTTCAAGGTTAATCAGAGACTCACTACATAAACAAATATCGTTCGCCATACATAGCTCTGGAATGCGATTTCTTATTCTGGTCATTGCCTGTTTTTTGCAACGGGATCGCTGGAGCTGAATCCAGCGAGAATTCCGCCCAAAATGTCAACAGACAGACGAAGCGGTTTAAGTAAGGTAGTCATTTATCGTCATTTATCCGATTTGGCTTCGTTTCGTTATCTCGAATTCAAAAGGCAATTATTTTACCTCATTCGGCGAAAAGGTATGATTTTAGAACACTTGCAGTAGAAATGGAACAAATCAGCTGTCCATTTTTATTCTGTCAGAATTTCTGTCAGATCCTTCTTTTTCTCGGAAGACTGTCTCAACGACGTGAGCAACTCCATCAATCCGCTTGAAAGACTATCGCCATGTTT